ATTACAAAGAGAGAAAAAGAGATAAATTGACACTTCTCAAGTTGCTAGGCTGATTGGTGAGAATCCACCTCCAAATCAACAACTTGCAAGCTCCACTTTGTTGTTGTCTAAGCTCTCAAAATATCAAAAAATGCTTGGTGATGGATTGAGAGCAAAACATACGCAACCATACCCTAAAAATTGTGTTTTTTTACCTAAATATGAGTTTATGTCCAGTCCTCACCGCCCGGCGTTCAAAATAATATTTTTTAGTGAATTTCACGTTTCTGGAGCGCCTCTACACCGCCTGGCGCTGCCTGACAGTAAGTTGAAAAAACCAGCACTGTTTCGATCATAATTTGAGAACCGTAACTCCGATTTGCACATGGTCAGAAGGTTGGAAAGCTTATTCAATGAGCTATCTAACAGTGCATGAATTTCAATGCTTAAATACCTGCAAAAATGAGATAAAATCAATTAAACTCAATGATATTTACATGATAACGCAATATATACACTATAACGTAAATTATACCGATTATATACTAAAGATGAGGTTTATTGACGAAAAATAAATGAATTTAGCCGATGAATGCTAATTATTCATACTCAAATTCACAGCAATTTAGCACTCATCAAACTCTTCTAAACTTAAAACATTGTTTGTCCTCAAACAAAGTCAAACAACCTAAAGAAACAAAAGACGATAATCCAAGAATCACGAATCAACGGGTTTTGAAACCGGAAAATAAATATATGGTTCAAATTAAAAATGCACAAGCAAAGTAAATATTTACCACAATCCTATAACGACAACATGAAAACGAAACAATTCTTAAATACAAAACACATGTCATAAATTCTAAAACAATATAATATTCACAAGTAAATCACACATATCACACACTTCATCGGTAGATGAAAAACACAAACATGAGGGTCATAACTCTCACCCAACAATATTGCTAACAACAACTAAATTATGCATTAATCAAAGCAAACTCATATTGAAAAGCACAAAAGAAAAAATCGCAAGGGCTTTCAAGGATTGTAATGCGGCTTGGATAACAAAGAATGGTTAATATCTAAAGGTAATTGAAACAAAAACAATGCCTAATTCTATAGGAGTGATCAATTTACAAAGTCTCAAGGATAATTCAATCAACTTTTTCAACTTTCTCAAATGTTACACCAACACATATCACTTATTTGTATATTTTTTTCTTTTTGAAAACTTGTTCTCTTTTTTCTTTTTTTTTCTTTTTCTATATTTTTTTCTTTTCTTTTCTTTCTTACAATTTTTTTCTTTTTCTACTTTCAAAAATTTTCTTTCACGACCTCAAGAAACATACTTATAAACAAACAAACATCTATTCTCCCCAACTTTAATACAACTACAAAAAAGTGAAATGAATGCTCCCAAATAAGCTAGGCAAGGAAAAATCCAACACAATATATGGTTGATGGTTCAAGGGCTTAGAAACAACGCTAGAATCCATGATGAACTACTTACTCATGCATAAGTTCATAGCTCAACACTAAGATGAATCCTAAAGCTAAGGCACAAAGAGATTAACAAATAATCACTCACTCACAAGGTAAGTTACTTTTGGTTAGGTAGTTATTCTCAAAATCAAACATAATGCTTTGATTCTTTTCTTGCTTTCATGCAAAACAACATAAGTGCAAGATTAAACATAATAAACTTGAGTTAAGACAAAATTTATTGGTCTCCCGTGAATATAGTAAACAATAGAAAGCAACCTCACAAGGGATTTAGTTATAAAGTGATTCAAAAGTGAACACAAATTGCAAAAGAATGAATGACATGAAAATTGTACAAAAGCGATAAATGAGTACCTTGCGTGTACAAACTTCAAACACTATCATTACCATACATCCGCAAGTTGAAACAATCAAACTTAAAAAATCACCACTTGCGACTTCAAACCAAAAGAAAAAGATTTGAGTTCCAACAACGAACAAAACATTAGAACATACTACTAATAAACATACTAAAAGACTGGGTGAAATTGGATAAACAAGTCGAAAAGTGAAGATTGGAAATTTTAAAATTGGTCCAATTTTAATTTATTTAGCCAACATTCACCATACTACCTAACTATTAAAATGAAAATAATAAAATATGCTTGTTTTACGTCGTAAGCTCGACGCTTGTTATTTACAAACCACCACGTTTCTTCGGATGGGCCAAATACTTTCACTCTCGCCTTTGCTCCCATCTCTTCGAGCTCTAACCGAAACTACACATCTAACCACACTTTTGGAAATCATGAAGAGAAACAAATAAATACAATATATTCACAAGTATGCAAAACATGTACAACTCACAAATATGGTAAAAATATACAAGTATCAATATAAACAAGTTTCTATTTACACATTATAGATGATATGAACATTATGTGCAAAACTCAAAAATAAAGAAACTATCACAATGTGATCCAATAAAAACACCAATAATCGATAATGACGCCATTTTGCTGATGCAGTAAAGCGACAAGCAAATGTAAGTATTTTTATAGGTTATATCATATTGTCTCCACAGGGATTAGTGCTACAGAATTTTCGTTCGATAATTTCTCGCGTTTATGAGTTTCAGATTGAATTGGGTTGGTTTTCATAAAAGGTAAAAGCGGGAATTAAACATATGAACATGAAATAAATACATTCTTCAGAAAGGAGAGAACTCTCGGGATTGAATTTCATATACTCGTCAAATACTTAAACTTACTACCCAATTGCACTTAACCTAAATTACTCGTTGATATCATCATGTATCACTCACACATAGGTTATCTCTAACGCATAGTGAGATATCAACCGTATTGATCTACACCAGCAATCTCTCAACGCAACATAAAATAACACTGAGACATTAAAAATCGATACTTAAGTGATTATTAAGCCTAAATCTATCTCTAGAGTTTAGAGCCTAATAGATATTCATCTAAAGTCCAGATTTAAACTGTATATGTCTATATAAACTCAAACCCAAACACTTAGCAAGCTAAAAAATATAAACATCGATAAAGATTTGTAAAGAAAGCTTCATACAACACCATGAGTAGTGAATATACATATAAGACAGAGCATATTTACAAACAAAACCCCAACACAATAAAGATTACAAAGAGAGAAAAGGAGATAAACTGACACTTCGATTTGTCAAGATGATTGGTGAGAATCCACCTCCAAATCACCAAGTTGCAAGCTCCATTTTGTTGTTGTCTAAGCTCTCAAAATATCAAAGAATGTTTGGTGTTGGATTGGGAGCAAAAAATACCCAACCATACCCTAAAAAATATGTTTTTTACCTAAATATGATTTTCTGCCCAGCCCGTACCACCATGCGGTGAAACGGCACCGCCCGACGTTAAAAACAGAATTTTCAATGCATTTTCACGTTTCTGGAGCGTCTTTGCACTGCCCAACGCTCTCAGGGCGCTTCGTGACAGTAAGTTGAAAAAACCAGCACAATTTCGGCCATTACTTGAGAACCGTAACTCTGATTTGCGCACGGTCAGAAGTGTTGGAAAGCTTGTTCAATGATCTGTCTAACAATAGATAAATAATAATGCTTGAATACATACAAAAAGGTGATTAAATAAATTAAACTCAATGATAATTACATGATAGCACAATATATGCACTATAACGTAAACTATACCGAATATATACTAAAGTTGAGGTTTATTGACGAAAAGAAAACGAATTAAGCCGATGAATGCTAATTATTCACACTCAAATTCATAACAATTTAGCACTCATCACTGATATCTTCACCAAAGGGCTCTCTAAAATGCTCTTTGATGATTTTAGGACCAGCCTAAGCGTCCGTCAACCTCCCGCTTCGACTGCGGGGGTGTGATAGAATATGTATTTAGTAATTAATAGAATATGTATTTATAATTGTATATAAGTCTTACATCGACTATAACATATAATCTCTCCATTCCTTTTAAATTGTCATATATTGACGTTTTACATAGACTAAGAAAGCTAATAATTATTGTTACTTTTTATGTTATGATTTTTCTTTTTTCTATAATACCATTAAATTTTAACCATTTCAATATACTTTTTTCTCTCTCCATAACAAATAGTTAGAGGTAATTTTGACAACACTGTAATCATTACCACTTTGAACATTTAAAACAATAATTAAAAAGAAACATAATTTTTTAACAAAAGTGACATTTTAAAAGGAATGGAAGGAGTAATGTTCTCTCTCTCTCTCTCTCTCTCTCTCTCTCTCTCTCTCTCTCTCTCTCTCTCTCTCTCTCTCTCTCTCTCTCTCTCTCTCTCTCTCTCTCTCTCTCTCCCTCCCTCCCTCCCTCCCTCCCTCCCTCCCTCCCTCTTCTTAAGGAAAAAATTGCACCCAATTATGAGTATATGAAGAGAGGAGACAGATTGCTGCGTCTAATACCAAATAAATTTGCATAGAAATGGTCAAGATATTTAATTAGTTATTTATGGAATTGATTGGAGAGATTTTAAGTTAGATTGAAATGGTTATCCAGATAATCAGGGAACAAATTTGTGAGACAAATAGAAAATAAAATCAAGGAATAGGACATATAATATTATGTTAGATAAAAGTCTTGGTATAAATGTATGTCTTTGAAATTAATACAAAAAAAAAGATATAATAAAATTGTAGAATCTACAATAAGATCCAATAATAAAATACCTTGTATGTGTCTACCATTTCATATCCAATAATAAAAAACCTTGTATATGTCTACCATTTCATCTAAACTTTCCAGTTTGATACAATGGTGTTTGTGTGGTCTCTTGTTTTGTCATTCCCGTTGCTTTTCCTTTAAATTCAACACTGATAATAGCGTAATGGATGGGCTGCCATTAAAAAAAGCAAAGGGTAACTGATGGGTAGAAAATAAAGGATTTTTTATTATATTGTAGTCCATTTCTTTGGTATAAGTACCACCTAATATGTGTCTAGCATTTCATCCAAACTTTCAGAATAATAAGATACAATGGTGTTTGTATGGTCACTTGTTTTGTCACTCCACTTTCTTTTTCTTTATTCACTCTTGTCTTTCACATTTACTTCATCTTTTTCTTTAACTCACCCAAACTGTCGTCAATATGAAAGCCATGCCTTGTTGCAATTCAAGGAAGGCTTTAACATCAATACGACTGCTTCTTATAATCCACTCAGTTATCCTAAAACAGCATCCTGGAATGCAAGCACCGATTGCTGCTCATGGGATGGCGTTATATGTGATGACCACACAAATTATGTGATTCACATTGATCTCAGTAGCAGCCAACTCTTTAGTACAATGGATGCAAATACCACTCTCTTTCGCCTTGTACACCTTCAACATCTTGATCTTTCAGATAACCACTTCAATTACTCTCAAATCCCATCCGAGATAGGTGAGCTCTCACAACTAAGATATCTAAACCTATCTCACGCAACCTTTTTTGGAGAAATTCCATCTCAACTTTCACACTTGTCCAACTTGTTGTCACTTGATTTAGACTTTAATCTTGGAACAAGTCCTTTAGGTTTAGCGGTTAATTTCTTGCAACTCAAGTCGTCTAGCCTCAAAAGCATAATTCATAACTCAACAAAACTTGAGTCTCTTCTACTTGATTACGTGACAATTTCATCCTCTTTGATAATATCGCAACTAGAAGGTAAAGAAAATATCTTCATTATGAAAACTTGGTTAAAGAATCCTGTACACAAGGTTGTTCCTATTTATATGAGTAATTAACAGCACTTTGTTATAACTAACACAACTTGATACTTTACATAACTACCATCACTAATTATATACATCAAATAAACTTAGGCTAATATTAGGTAGTATGGCTTGATACCTCCCCACAAGTTGGACTATGAATATTGCATAGACCTAACTTGGACAGAAGAGATGAAAATAGAGGAGCATGAAGTGGTTTTGTGAGCACATCAGCAAGCTGGGAACTGGATGGAACTGGAAGGAGATGGATGAGTTTAGATTGCAGCTTCTCACGAATGACATGGCAATCTAATTCGATGTGCTTACTACGTTCATGGAAGGTGGGATTGTGAGCAAGATAGATGGCTGACTTGCTGTCACAGTAAAGAGAAGCTGGAGCAGAAAATCCAATGCGAAAGTCATCAAATAAGTATCTCAACCACTGAATTTCGCATGTTAAAGAAGCAAGTGCTCGATATTCTGCTTCAGTTAACGATCGAGACACATTATTTTGCTTCTTTGAACGCCAAGAAATAAGGGAATTTCCAAGGAGTACACAAAAACCTGTGACAGACTTTCTTGTCTCTGGGCACCGGGCCCAATCGGAGTCAGCAAAGCCAGTGAGCCTCAGCTTGCTGGAACTATCAAATAAGATACCTTGAGCCGGATAAGCTTTAAGATAACGCAATACTCTAGTAGCAGCCTGGTAGTGAGAAAGAAAAGTATTAGCAACGTATTGGCTAAGGTGCTGCACAGAGAAAGAAATATCAGGCCTTGTGTTAGTAAGGTATAATAGCTTTCCAATCAGCTTCCTGTAAGAAGTAGGATCCTCCAAAGCTACACCATCAGTAGAGGAAAGCTTTACATTTGGATCATAAGGTGTTGAGGCAGGTTTAGCCCCAAGGAAACATGTGTCTTCAAGTAATTCTAGAACATATTTTCTTTGGTTGAGAAAAATACCCTTGCTAGATCTAGCAATCTCTAAGCCAAGAAAAAATCTGAGGTTGCCAAGGTCTTTAATGCGAAATTTACTGTGGAGAAAAGCCTTGACATGCTGAATTTCAGCATGAGAATCACCTGTTAAGACAATATCATCAACATATACTAGCAATGCAGTGAAACCAGACTTAGAGTTCTTGGTATACAAGGAATGGTCAGCTTCAGATTGTACATAACCCAAAGAAAGTAAAGATGAAGAGAGCTTAGCATGCCATTGCCTACTGGCCTGCTTCAAACCATAGAGAGACTTTGTTAGTTTACACACTTTATTAGAATCAGAAAAACCATAACCAGGGGGAAGGGACATGTAGACCTCTTCATAGAGATCTCCATGAAGAAAAGCATTGTTGACATCAAGTTGCTCAAGATGCCAATGCTTTACAGCTGCAAGGGAAAGAAGGACTCTCACTGTGGTGATTTTGGCAACAGGTGAAAAGGTGTCAAAATAATCCACTCCTTCTATCTGAGTATACCCTTTTGCAACTAACCTGGCTTTATATCTTTCTATGGTTCCATTGGCATGGTATTTAACCTTGTAAACCCACTTGCAACCAACTGGAACCTTACCTGCGGGAAGATCTACAACAGTCCAGGTTTGATTTTCTTCAAGGGCAGCCATCTCTGTATCCATGGCCTTTTTCCAACAGTCAAGTTTAGAGGCTTGAGTATAAGTTTTTGGCTCAGGTATGGATGAAATGGTGCAACAAAAATTTTTGTAGGTAGGTGAGCAATTGAGATATGATAAAGAAGTGGAAAGAGGATAAGAAAAATTATTAGTATTGGATGCTTTTATTATGGAATTTCGGAGAAGACTACAATGATAGTCTTGGAGATATGTAGGGATGACTTTGGCTCTAGTAGAATTTCTAGGTGGAGGGACAGAAGTGTGGTCTGGGACAGATTGGGAAACTGTGTCCAGGCTGGCAGAGGGGTTGCTATTAGGGTCAAAATCAATAAGAGATGGGCTGGCAGCAGAGAGAGGACTGCTAAGAGGTGTATGTAGTGTGGAATTGGGGTTAATGTAGTCATTAAGAGAGTTAGGGGTATGCAGGGCAGAAGTAGGAATGGTAGGAGTAGATGGTGTATTACTAGGTGTTGTAATGTCACCATCAAGCAAAGGACTAGGGGCAGAATGAGTGTCAGAATCAAACAAATGACTAGAAACTAGCTGATTATTGTCTAAAGGATCATGCTGTGGGTTAGAGAGAGAACTAGAAGACTTTTTGAAGGGAAATACAGATTCATAAAAAATAACATTTCTAGACAAATACAGTTCATTAGAATGTAAGTCATACAGTAAGAAGCCTTTAGTACCATCCTTATACCCAAGAAACACTGCTTTTCTAGCCCTAGGCTGAAACTTAGTCCTATGGTTTTGTAGGGTGGTAGAATAACAAAGGCAACCAAAAACTTTTAGGTGAATGAGAACAGGAAAAGTTTTGAACAATTTTTCATAAGGGCATTGAGATTGTAATAAAGGACTAGGGATACGATTGATTAAATGCACAGTATGTTTAATGCTAAAATTCCATAGGTTCAAAGGAAGGTTAGAATGGAAGGTGATAGCTCTAGCTACATTCAATATATGTTGATGTTTTCTCTCGACTACCCCATTTTGTTGGGGAGTCTCCACACAAGATTTTTGGTGTAGTATACCCTTAGATAAAAAGAAGGGCTGCAATGAGAGAAACTCACAGCCATTATCAGATCTAAAGGTTTTAAGAGTGGTATGAAAGTGATTTTCTAAAGAGGCTACAAAATGAATGATACTTTGTTTAGTTTCAGATTTGTTTTTAAGAAAAATAACCCAGGTGAACCTAGAAAAATTATCAACAAGAGTTAAAAAGTATCTATGGCCCATAATGGACTCAGTGGCAAAGGGCCCCCATAAATCAGCATGCAAAAGATCAAAAGGAGAAGTAGTGAAAGTAGTACTAACAGGAAAGGGTAACTTCTTTTGTTTAGCATAGTGACATGAATCACAAGGGTTCATGTTATTTTTACAAGAAATTAAAGGACAAGCTTTTGCAATTATTTGTAAACTAGAATGGGAAACATGACCTAATCTTAAGTGCCAAGTTTCAAAAGAATTGGAAATAGCAGAATTACAAGAAGATATAGCAGCACTTGTGTCAAGGATGTAAAGACCCCTTTGCAAGCTAGCTGTACCAATCGTTTTCTTCGAAAGGTTCTGCAAAATATGACAAGTATTGGAGGAAAAATTAAGATGACAATTATTGCTAATAGTCAACTTAGGAACAGAGATAAGGCTGACATGAAAATTTGGTATGAAGAGAATATTATGCAGGGTTAAAGATGGAGAAATGACTACATTTCCAGCAATGTTAGCATTGATAAGGGAACCATCAGGCAAAGTAACAGATATAGGATTGATAGTGTGATACGAATTGAAAATAGCAAGGCTAAAAGTGATGTGTTCAGTGGCACCAGTGTCTAAAATCCAGAAGTTGGGATTCTTACCAATGACTGAAGAGTGGGAATTAAGGGCTAAAGGAGATGCAATGATGGAATTTGCAGTAGGGTTGGATTTTGACTGCTGAAGCAAGGCACGGAGACTGTGAAGCTCTTCTTGAGTGAAACCAAACGAGGACTGAGAGTCTTCTGTAGGAGGAGCAGTGGACGTAGAGTTGGCTTGAGGTTGTCCATTACCATTCGGAGGTTGAGAAATTCGCCCTTTTTGCTTAAATCCAGGGGGATATCCATGCTTCAAGAAGCATGTGTCCACGGTGTGGTTTGTGCGTCCACAATGCGTGCATACACGTCCTGTCCCTTTAGGTTGCTGAGACCATTTTCCCTTTTGGTAGCCTTTCCCAGCCGAAGGACCTTGAACATGTAACGCAGAAACTGCAGAGTCAGTGGTATCCGGAGAAGGAACAAGGTTCAATTCACGTTCCTGCTGAATAACGAGTGAAAACACCTTGTCAATGTTAGGCATCGGATTCATCATCATGATCTGCGATTTGGAGCTTGCAAATTTCTCGTTTAAGCCCTTCAAAAATCTTATCACATAGTCTTGTTCTCGGTAAGTCTTAGCAGAATCCACAACACCACATGAACAAGAAAATGAACATTTGCAACAAGGAAGAGGACGATAGTTTTCCAATTCGTCCCAAAGCATTTTCAATTGAGTAAAATAGTCAGAGACATCAAGAGTACCTTGGCGGAAACGATACAATTCTTCTTGAATGTCGGAGATGCGAAACACGTCACTCTGCGAAAACCTAATTTGGAGATTCTTCCAAACTCCCGCCGTTGAGTTAATCCAAAGAACAGATTTCGCAATTGAAGTGGAAATTGAACGCTGAATCCAAGAAACAACCATGGTGTTGCAACGAATCCATTGTGCAAACAAAGGATCAGTGACGAACGGTTTGGGGAAAGATCCATCAACAAACTTTTCCTTGTTCTTGGAGATAAGTGCCAGAAGCATAGAACGTGACCAAGTATGATAGTTCTTGTTGTCCAATGGTGGAGCAACAAGAATCAAAGCGGGACTCTCATTGGGATGAAGATAATAAGGATTCGCAGAGTTCGTTGCGAAGTCGGCATAGCTCTGGTGATCCATAAAGAAAAGAGAAGGAGTTTGAGATTGTCAAGAGAAAAAAAGGGGAAAATCGCGAGGAAGACGAAAGGGAAAAATCGCAATTCTTGAACCAAGGAAGAAGAAAGGGGAAAGAGTGATCACCAGAGCTCATTGAGCTCTGATACCATGATAATATCGCAACTAGAAGGTAAAGAAAATATCTTCATTATGAAAACTTGGTTAATGAATCCTGTACACAAGGCTGTTCCTATTTATATGAGTAATTAACAGCACTTTGTTATAACTAACACAACTTGCTACTTTACATAACTACCATCACTAATTATATACATCAAATAAACTTAGGCTAATATTAGGTAGTATGGCTTGATACTCTTTACCAGACAAACTCACAAACCTAACTTCCCTGAAAGCACTATCTCTTTCCAATTCTGAATTGTATGGTGAATTTCCGGTTAGAATATTTCATCTTCCAAACTTGAAATTTCTGGATTTGAGATATAATCCAAATCTCATTGGTAGGTTGCCTGAGTTTCAGTCTAATTCAGTACTCACCAAGTTAGCACTAGATGAGACAGGTTTCTATGGTACACTGCCTGTATCCATTGGAAAACTCAGTTCTTTAAATATTCTATCAATTCCAAGTTGTCATTTTATTGGGTACATTCCTTCTTCCATTGACAACCTCACCCAACTCATACAGATAAACCTTCAACATAACAAGTTTAGGGGTGACCCTTCTTCATCCCTGGCAAATCTTACCAAACTAACTCTTTTGAATGTTGGTTTCAATGAATTTACTTTTGAGACCATCTCATGGATAGGTGAGGTCTCATCAATAATTACATTGGATATATGCTCAGTCAATATTGGCAGTGACATCCCGTCATCTTTTGCAAATCTCACGCAGCTAGAAACATTAAATGCAGAAAATTGCAATATAAAGGGTGAATTTCCATCTTGGATAATGAACCTAACAAATTTAGTGAACTTGTACCTACCTCATAATTTGTTGCATGGAAATCTATTGCTTGACATGTTTTGGAAGCTTAAAGAGCTAGATAATCTTAATTTATCATTCAACAAACCGTCCTTGCACAGTGGAAAAAATTCTTCCCATATGAAGGATTCTCGAATTCGAGTCATAGAATTGGGTTCATGCAATTTATTAGAGGTACCAATGTTTATTAGATATTTAAGTGATATGACATATCTTGGCCTGTCAAACAACAATATAACTTTGCTACCTAGTTGGTTGTGGAGAAAATCTAGTTTACAAATCTTAGATATTTCCCACAATTCATTGACAGGAGAAATATCCCCATTCATATGCAATCTCAAATCACTGATCCACCTTAAGTTATGGTCCAACAATTTAAGCGGTAATGTTCCCTCATGTATAGGGAACTTTAGTCAATATCTAGAAATTCTCATGTTTAAAGGGAACAATTTGTCTGGCCTCATTCCTCAAACATACCTGATGGGTAATGTCCTTCAAATGATTGATTTCAGCAACAACAATGTTCAAGGTCAGTTGCCAAGAGAATTAGTCAAATGCGGATGGCTAGAGTACTTTGATATTAGCCATAACAATATCAAGGATTCGTTTCCATTCTGGCTGGGAGATCTACCCGAATTGAAAGTATTGGGTTTAAGTGAGAATCAATTTCATGGCGACATAAGGTGCCCTGACAACATGACATGCACATTTCCCAAGCTTCACATCATTGACCTTTCTCACAATGAATTCTCCGGCATTTTCCCATCAGGAATGATCCAAAGTTGGAAAGCAATGAAAACTTCCGACACAAGTCAATTACAGTACGAGCAAGGAGAATATTCGGGAAAAGGAAATGTTTCTTATTCGTTCACAATGTCAAACAAAGGGATGGTATTGGTTTATGAGAAGCTTCAAGAGTTTTATAGTATGATAGCCATTGACATGTCGAGCAACAAAATAAGTGGACAGATACCAAAAGTCATAGGTGACTTGAAGGGTCTTGTTTTGCTCAACTTGTCAAATAACAACCTTGTTGGCAGCATTCCATCTTCTTTAGGGAAACTTTTAAAACTCGAAGCACTTGACCTTTCTTTCAACACTCTCTCAGGGAAGATTCCCCAACAGTTAACACAACTCACCTTTCTGGAGTTCTTTAATGTCTCCCTCAATAATCTCACTGGACCTATACCACAAAATGGGCAGTTTTCTACATTCCAAAGCAATTCATTTGAGGGTAACAAAGGTCTGTGTGGTGATCAATTGTTGAACAAGTGTTTAGATCATGCAGGGCACTCATATTCTCCACCTTCAGCCTCTGATGGTGAACACGATTCAGAATCTTTCATTGAAATTGAGTGGAAAGTAAGTCTGATTGGGTATGTAGGCGGTCTTATTGCTGGAGTGGCATTGGGAACCACTTACAGCTCACAGGTTATTAGGTGGCTTAAAAGGTTCTTTTGAGTTTCTTTTCTAGTCTCTTCTCATCAATTCCTGTTTCCTCCTCTTATTGTGACACTGTATTTTCTTTGCATTCAAATTTCAAACTTACTTACATTTTAAATTATACTATAAATATTGTTTGATTTTTAATTAAAATTTATTACATTTTTATCAATGGTAACATATTAAACACTATTTGTATAAACATTTATCATTAATAGAAATGACCGGTAAAATAGCAAAATCATGTTTCAACTAACTGTTTTCTTTTCATATAAAATATACTTTTTATTTATGTTTAATTCACATAATTACAACAGTAGTTTAAAATAAAATATTATAGATATAACTTAATCATTCATATTTATTAAAAAAGTACTTATATCATAATTATAATTTTAATAAAATAATTAATTTATATCTGTGCAGACCTTATTCTAGTTAATGGTAAAGTACGATGGACTCTCATTGTATGCCAATAGTTAAAATATTGGTTGAGTGTTTTGTTATAAATAGTCCTCCTAACTCATATTGGAATGGAGAGGTTAATATGCCATCCTTTAAATTAAACCTGTCATTCCTCTCATTTTTTTTATTCTATTTTTATTTTTGGATGAGATGCATATTATTTCTAGACGAAATTTTTATTAGAAGGATTGAAATTTCTGTTACTATCCAAATTTCTGGTACATTCCGACAAAATTTCTGATATGCGTAAATTTTCAGTAATGTATTTAAAATTTCCTGTGTACGGGAAATTTCAAATTAATTGAAATTTACTGTAGTTATAAAAACATGGTTTTTTAAACGGCTGAAATTTTACCGACATATTTGGATGGTTCTGATTGCACCGACACATTTGTTTGGTCTAGAATGCATCACCATTTGTATAAATAGGGGCATGTGTTATAGAGAAAATACATCCCAAAAAATATTTCTTCCTCAATTTTTTATTACGGCAGAAGTGTATTACAACGGCAACAACCCTCCTATTGAATTCAAGCTTCCAGATGGCTCTGAATCCTTTGCCACCTTGATGAACCTCAACGGTATCCATCTTCTCACAGCCCTGGCTGCTGAACCTCAATTGTTGTATCCATGATCTCGTAATGGAGTTGAGGATGTGACTCTAAAACTATGTATCAATGCCACCAGCTAGAGACTCTGGAACTGGACGAGGGATTCCCTGTACATAACTATATTGGCGTAGACACCTCTCAGACAAGTGTCTAGCCACATGCCTCTCCCATCTAACATGTCCTGAATATAAAGTAAATACCTCAAGACGATGGAGACGATGAGATGTATATGGTGTCCAGATGACATCCTCCAAGGTCAGAGCGTCAAGCCTCCTCCAGTACTCCATCAAACCTCCTGAAATGACTTGCTTGGCCTTCCATCTCCTCGCACATGGCTCTGATGCGTGAACACGCTGGATCTTCCGCTCACAGATGTGAGAGAAGTGCTCGTATATCCAACATTGCATTAATAAAAACCATCAAATAAATACACCCAAATAATTAATAAAAACCATCAAATACGTTATAATATACTTGTAACAAGCTGAGGTAACCAACAAGTTGCCCGGTCTCAGGACGAGAAGTAACGTCAAGTGCCGTGTACAACATGGTCAAGGCCGCCACTCCCCAAGCCCAACATGGAGTGTCAAATGCGTTGAATAGAGACAAGTATCAAACATCAATATATAAACTCCAGACTTGTCTGCAAAGAGAGTACATGCCACCAGATGTAGCATGTACGCCCTAGCGGTAACCTGGTACCTCTGTGAAACCATAAGCTCCCCATACAACCTCCTCAGCCAAGACATTCAAAGGTGAAATCCCCGAGTCTCACCAAACTCCTGTAGCACTTGCGTCTCAGAAACCTCCAAATCATCCATAGCCATGCACACCATGTGTCACCCCTAAATGGAAGATGGAAGGATGATGTCTTTGAGTGCCACCTCTCAACAAAAGCTGATAACAGGGAGGCATCCAGCATGGTCAAGAAGAAATTAGAAAACTCCAGGAGTTGGAACTCTCTAACGATCCTCATCACCTTCTCAGGCACGAGACTCTCAGGAAAATTCTTCAACTTCAAACCATGAGAAGCGACCTTCAACACCGAACGCTCCTGTAAGAAGCAAAAACAAATTATTATACATCAAATCTTGTAAGAAAAATAAAAATTATGCAATTAAACAAAACCAAAAATATATACCTCGCTATGTTATATCCTATAAGCAACATGGTCCCCAAATCCTGTCAGCACGGACCTATCTGAAGGTCCTCCAGGGAAACCTACATCAGTGTGTACTAATGGCTCTGTAGACGCACAAGTCGTGGTGTCTGTATCAGTGGTGGATACTGTAGCGGTAGAAATATTTAAGACTAAGCCATGAGATTGACTAGACTTGTACAGATCAAAATAAAAAAATCGCCACCGTGCTTTATTGTTTCCAAAGAAATGGGAAAAGAGCGAATAACCCAAAAAGAGGGGAAAAGATTCAAGGTAAGGGGGTTGGTTATGCAAAGAGAATATATTATCACCCTAAACATCTACGGTACTCCGCAGGAACCTCTTTGTAAAATTTGTATATTTTGGCTATAAAAATGTTGTATGTAAAAGTAGATGGTGAAGGTGAGAAAAGAAATATATTTTTTATGATTTTTGCATCCGCCGCGGTTGTGAACCTTTAGTGCCTACGTACCATATTCCGTGCAATAGGGGATCAGGGTACACGTAGTTCCTCTTTAAAAAATTTAAAACACAAGTGTGTTGGTTAGTTTTATGAGATAAGACATCATCGTCATTGTCCGTGTGGAAAACATACTTACTACCCACAATTATGAAAAAGGAGAATTTGTATCATCTCAAAATGGAGGATATGGCTTGGGTTTTAAAATCAAGAATGCCTCACTCAACACCCAAATGGAAAATATCTCACTTCAATACATATTGTAGAAGTATAGTTGTTTGTATCACTACAAAGATTGCCAAGAGTCTAATCTTTTGAGAAAAGTTTTGAAATAAAAGCTAAAGTGGCAAAAATGGTTTGAAATGAGATTGATTGACTTTTGGTCTTCTCACAAAAAAGGTCAAGGTATTATTAAATTGATTAGGGTTTATTTATGAAAATGTTTGAAAATGCATGGACATAAGTCCAAGTTTATTATGAAAATGGTCCAAGTAAAAAAACAAGAAGGGTTTTCAAAGGGAGGAAGAAGATTTTTGAAATTAAAGAAGATGGGAGGAGAAGAAGGGACTATCCTAAAACATAAGGTAAAATCTAGGGATAAGAACCATCTAACCAACAAGAAGCCAATACTTGACATTATGAGCAAAGATAGAATTCTCATTATTTGGATTGAAACCAAGCAAGCAAAGATACTAGACCTCTTGAAAGAACCAAGCTTCAAGTGTATTAAGTCTTCACCAAAAATTGGGCAGAGTAAGGGTTGTATACGGGTGAATTCCAGATTACAAACAAAGAGTGTAATCACAATAACCTGCACACAAAACAAACAAACAACCCAATGTCTTGAGGTAAACCTCAAGAGCTCCAGACAAAGTAATCAGATAAGGTCACAAGGTCTCTAATCATAGGCCAAGGTTTATAATCCTAAGTCCAAGAAGTCCAATGCTCCATAATGCCAAGGATATTAACCAAATAGTCCAAGTATCATTAAGGATTTTATGGTTCATATTGATTATTAAGTATCTTAAGGAAAGAAAAGAAAAAATCAAGTGAGCAAAATAAAAATGAAAAGAAAGTAAATTCTCAAATGAGAAAATATGAAAATGACATGAAATGTAAATGTTAAAAGTAAATAGTGCATAAAAATAAAAGGGGCATATAATAAAAATACAGGATAAAGTCAATTATTAGTGATTAGTGGTTAGTTGGATGATCATCTTGAAACTTGCATTTAGAACTCATTAGAGGATTGGTAGAACCAAAGCCTCCACAAAACAAGTTGAATTTGCTTTTTGTCAAGTATATCATCCATTTGGAATCCTCAGAAGTACCATTTAATGATCAACGATGTTTAAGTGATCCGCGTTGACCAAAAGTGTTGTAGATCCATTAGAGTATTGATAGAACCAAAGCCTCCACACAATGAATATCAAGGTTATTGGATCAAAGAGATCAAATTAACATACTTGGGCTTGCAAACATAAGTTTGAGCCACAAATGATCATTTATTTGAATCAGGACAAAATTTAGCGTTATGTTAAGCAATCGTAAGTGGACTTATATAGAAGTCGTACCTATTTTGAGGCTGGTTGTTATACTGTGGGAGAACTGACTTGGGATGTTTTACATTTTATCGTAAATGTTGCAGTTAGCAAGAGTCGCCACCGGCTTTTCTTTTATCCAAAAGGAAAGGTGAAAAAGCACAGGAAAGACCTTTGAGATTATTTCTTGAGTTCGGGGGGTAGATTATGAAAAGGGAAGGTATTAGCACCCTTTTCATCCATGGTTTTCCATGGGCTCTTAGTTACTTGCTAGATCACTTGCTTTTGTTTGAAAATGTGTTTTGTGTGGTTTTTTGAAAGTATTTTGAAAAGGCGCCATCGTTTAGGCAAACTTTGTAATGATTCTCGTTCGTAAGAATGTATACAAAGTGTTGATCTTTTGAAAATGTTTTCAAGTTTTGAAAGATGTTTTGAAAGTGTTTGGTGTTTGTTTTGAAAATAGCAAGGATGTTTTGGTTTTGAAATTGAGCAAGTAACTAGGAACATTCTACCTACTCAAAAGTCTTTCATGTTTTTTTCCTCTTTCCTTTGACATTGTTATCTTACCATTGATTTGGTAAGTAACCCTATCTTTGGATGTGAACGGGGCGGGCGTGGGTCATCGTATAACCATGATTAGAAATGTTGCAAGGTATCTTAGCATCTTTATTTAGGGACTAAGATCATTTTGAAAGGCAACTTTGATAGCGTCATCGAGGGACTATGATCTTGTGTTTGTTTGTTTTTGCTAAGATACCTCACATGCATAACATGGCCATTTT